TACATATATATATATATATATATATATATATATATATATGTAGTGTGTGTATGTGTGTTAATACAACATGTATGTACAAAAAGGACAGATGGAGAACAACACAAAAAACGGAAAGAAACACCAAACGTAAAACACAACTCATTCAGATGCTGTTATTACCATTATTATTACCATTATTATTACTATTATTATTATTATTATTAGCAGCTCCGAACTATTTCACAACAAGGACAAACATGAGCGTACAGCAAACACACATATATATATATATATATATATGCTCCACGGAGGATTCTCGATGGGCGACACGCGGTGGTAACAGCAAGACGGAAAAGAAGAAATAAAAAAAGATATATTTTGAGTGGCTCCACGACAGCGATAGAGGGGGGGGAACGGCGTTGAACATCGTAAAAATAAAAGAAATGTGAGCGTTACACTTTTTTTCAAGGAGGGGGTAGCGCGTTGCCGCGGCACCTTAGACGATTCCAGAAACAAAATGTGCTGAGCTGGACGATGTTGTGAGCACACACTCACAGTTCTCGTTGTGCATCACGTCTACAGTGTGGATCGCGTTTTTGATTTGTTAGTGATTCTTCCAGTCTGAGAAACGGGAAGAATTGACGGAGGTTGTTATTGGAAAAATACAAGGGAAGCCATTGATGACGAGCACAAGAACAGAAGGAAAAAGGAAGAGTTCGCACAGTCACATTAACTACGATATACTTAAAAAAGTGTAAATTCAAAGATGAGAAGCTTTGAAAATCGATCACCCGTCGTCCCGCATACAATACACAAATAGATAGAGATCAAGCAGCCCCACCGCTTACCTCTCGCGCTGCTACAAACGTTACTGCCACCGGGTGGGGGGGGGGAACAAAAGAGAATCCAAAGCAGTACGTGATTTAGAGAAGGTGGTACACCTTGAAAGACAAGAATAAATGAAGAAAACCAAACAAGGAGCCACAGAAAGAAGAAGGTGTAAAAGACAGGAGAACTGCGCTGTACGCACGCATGCTCCTTGCTCTCCACCTTCGGGCGCCTAGCGCGTCACCTTAGAAAAGTTGATCGTTATGCACTACGGCTAACCACGTACTGGGGAGAAACAACGCAAGTACAAAAGCAATAAAACTTTGCGATCACTTCTTGGTGCTACATGGCGTTGCATTCCTTGAGCCTTAAACTGGCGCTGAAACCGCATAAACAGACTTTTTAACTGGTAGTTGGGTAGCACTAGTTCAGGCCGTCCTGAACAAATTCAAGGAACGGTCAGACACGTTGTGGAGACGAACGGCAGTCGCAACTCCGCTTGAGATCGGACTGAGCGAGCACGCTGCGGACGTTGCGAGACGAAAAAAAAGGGGAGAGGGAAAGGGTACACAAAAACACATGAAATGTCGAAGGGCTAAACAGTATACAAATCAGAACAACATCTGGAAGAGGTGGTGCAGGAGAGAACAGGAGGAAGTTCATTTTGTGTGTGTGTTTTTGCTTGCGCTCCGGTTTGCCTCGTCGCCGTCTGGAACGCCACAGAAAGACGTAGGCTCTTTTTAAGTTGTTGGTTTTTGAGGGGGTTGATGCCCGTGAGCAACCCATAAAAAGGAGATACGCCACGTTATAGCCCCCAGAAATAATAATAAACTGCTAGTTGAGCTCTGACGCCTTGCGCGTCACTACGCTCGATCCGGCACGCTTTTCGTAAAAGGTCTTCTCCACCTCCTCGGAGTCGTTCTCGAAGCTGAGGTAGTTCTCGAAGACAGAGTTCTTTGCGGGAAGCCGGCGCAGGCGGACATGAGCCTGGCCGTACGGTGTGAATGCCAATTGGGAAAGGATGCCAAGCACGCACGTGCACGGCTCCACACCGTTCGCAACTGTGGGTGACGCTTTGCTTCCGCCGCTGCTGGTGCTGGTGCCGTTGGCCGGCTGCTGCACCAGTAGGCGCGGCACGACCAGGTAGGGCGACTGCTCGGGCACAAAGGTGTACGTGGCGCTGATGTCCCGCCCTTGCAAAAAGGTGAAGCTCTTCGACGGCGTCTCGGCGTCAGCGGAGGAGTTGACGAGCAGCGAGTACTCCCGCGCCACGACAGGGAAGTTGCCCGCCGTGATCGAGGGAGCTGAGTTGCCGCTACTGCGCGTGCTGCCGTCCTGAGAGAGAGGAGTGGTGGTCGAAGGCATGGCACCTGCGATGGAGATCATGATGGGTGCGTAGTCCTCCGCCTCCTTGGGCGTCCCTTTCGTGTCCGCTTGGGAGAGGATGAGCGTCAACGACGTCGGCTCCGTCACGTGAATCTCCAAGCACAGGTTTGGTATGGCGCCCGAAAATTCAAACGGGATGCGGTAGTCCGCGTAGCCGAAGTGGTTAAACACGACGCCGCAGCCTACAAACGTCTCCAGCACCTCTGACCACTCCATGATGAAGGTGCCGTCCTCGCCGTCGTGGTTGGGAAACGCGGCGCACGCCTCGGGGTGCTCCGCCCACGCGGGTGACTGCGCTGACCATCGCCCGTTCCACTTGGTCGCTGCGTCCCACGCGTTGCGCAGTCGCAGCAGACGCAGCGGCGGCACTTTCCTGCGCTTCGGCGTGCGTAGCTCGATGAAGCGCGCGCTCAGCACCGCGTACGCGTAGCCGACAAAAATGCCTTTTTCCTTGTAGCTGTTGTGGCCCGAGCGAGGATCGCTGTTGCCGGGGGTGCTCAGCAGCACCACGTGCCCGTTCTCGTAATCCTGCACCATGCGCTGGAAGAACACGTAGCTCTTCACCGGGTCGGTGACACACTCGCGGAAGCGGAGATCGAGCCGCGAGGTTGGGAAGCCGGTGAAGTCACGTACGGCAAAAAGGGGGTCGCCGCCTGCGATGCTGCTGTAGCACCGATTTCGCTTTGCGTAAGCCTTTTCGAGGTACGAAACCCACATCTCACACGGGTCATCCGCACTGCGGGCGTAGCGCTGCTGCTTCCCGACAACAGGGAGAAAACTATCGATTAAAACGGACTGCCACAGGCCGTCCTTGTTGAGCCACACTCGATACGCCCCCACCGCCTCGTCGCGCGCCGTCTCCTCGGGTCTGCGCGGGTGGCGAAACATGTCCTTGATGTGGTCAGGGTGTTCCGCTATGGCGGCCATAGCACTCATCACCCACGAGTTGCCCAGTTCCCCACGTTGGGTCGCAGAAGGAGTCACGGCGCGGCGGAAGAGTCGAATTTGACTCCTCAGATGGGTGGGCAGGTAGGCTTCCGGCCGCCGCCACCCACTCGGTGTGATTAGTTTGCGCCCGCTGTCTAACGAGATCTGCTCCGGGGGAAAAGAGGGGTCAACAAAGGCAACGCGGTGTGCTTTGCACACCTTCAGCACCGCCTCGGGGTCTGTAAGGGAGCAGGCGTATTTAGCGAGGGCAGCGCGATCCTTGTCGACTTCCGCATAGGCCAGCACGGACTCTCGCTGAATGTACTCCTTGGAGAGCGGCTTTCCGTCAAAGTGGCACCGATACTTCGACTTGTCGCCCCGCGCGAACTCGACGGTCTCCATCGGGTACACGATCAGTGATATCGTCAGCTCGTTGCCCTGCGAAACTGCCACCACGCGATTATCGGCGTCCGCCTCTCCTCCGCTGGACGACAGAGCGCCGAGCGGCTGCATGTCTGACCCTGGGCCAAAGATGAAGGTGGCGTGCATCTCGTAAACAAAGGTATCATTGTAGAGTGCCCAAAGCCGTTTCTCAGAGTCGATAATACGAAACAGAAAACCGCCCTTGAAACACGGCGTGGCGTCGCCGGGTATGGAGGGGCCCCAGTTCACCCACGGCGTGGTCAACGCCTTCGCTGACGCGCTCCTGTGCAGCGCCTCTACACTCTCCTCTCGGAATTCGTCGATCATCGTTCACCGCCAGCTCTTTCAAAACTGCAAGCAATACGATAGACGCACGTCGAAGAAGCTTTTGATTCCGCGAAAGTTTACAGTGTATCGTCCCCTCAACGCAGTGATTTGCTTTTCTTTTTTTGAAATTTCCAATGATACTTCTTCTTGATTCCACACACGCACTCACTCGCGCAGCCCTTTCTCTTCAACCCCCATCAACACAACGACGCCTTCTCCTGTCAGCTGCCTACGCGTTACTATATACGAGTGTGCTAGAGAGGGAGAAAAGGGGGGGAGGACACGAGTGACAACGAAATCAACCTATGCAAATCACAATGAGGAGTTTCAAACGCAATGAGGGAGACAACCACAAAAAAAAGGGGGCTCGCTTCGTCTGTCAAACTTTTGTTGGGGTTCCGTTGCACAAGAGCGGCCTATTGGAACCAACGAGAGAGTAATTTTGCAGTCCCACCACCTCCCCTGTAGAAGGGTGAGTACACACAAAAAGAGATAAAGATGGTTGAATGCGCTCGCGCCGTCGCACTAGCCTCGACAGCGAAATACAGATAACAGTTGCGCAAGAATTAGAGATAATGTCTCACTCTTCCGTTGAGGCAGCACACGGCACAGCCTTTTTTTTTGAGGGGGATGACGAAAAAAGTATTTTGACTTTGTGTGCGCTTTCGTGTGTCCTGTAGCGCAGGGGTTCATGAACGATGAGAAGAAAACCGGAAACAGAAAGAAGAAAGCGAAAGCGTTACGATACGAAAGATAAAAGAAAACGATGGAAAGTTGCTGTTCTGTTGTTGTTGTTGTTTTGCGGAGGTACTGCTACCTGGATGGATAAAGGGAGCGGAAGCCTTAATGTAGCTAGAGATGTTGCCAATCAGCCCAGTGCCGATCTGCTAAGCACGCGCTCTCGTCACCACGAAAAGAGCGTTGGCACCGAAGAGAGAAAAATGTAATATTGAAAATGGGAAGGTAGAAGAAAATAAGAAAAACATGAATGTGCGAAGAAGAGATAGAGAGTGGAAGTGATTGAGGAAGGGAATGATTCACTTTCTCGCCATTGAGAGCTCAGATGAGGAGCAATCGCCATACATACGACGTTGCAAAGGCGGCTTCTTCGTACGAAAACGAATGAGTAGGGTGGATCTTGCATGAACTGGGGGACGGAGAACTGGATCGTGGCTCAATGCCATCGTGCGCCTTCCTCGCCGCGCTCGCCCACAACTATCCGCTACGCATTTACAAAAGAGCGTTATAGACACTTGCGGGTAGTCCTTCAGATGGCATCGTTTGATTTCTACGAACACTCACGTTTTCATCCTTTGTGGCCACAAGCGCGAAGTGAGGCGACGACCTTTTAAGAAAGCGAAACATCACGAGAACAAATCAAAGAAAAAAAAAGGAAGAGGAACCGAAAAAGGAACTTTCCAAAGCAACACAAAAAGAAGGAAATGCACATTCGAAAATAGAAAAAAAAATAATGGTAATAGTAAAACAACGTATCCGAGAGCACAGAGTAGAAAACGTCATACCACGCCGTCGTTGTTGCCTTGGATTGATCTTCTTTGTCTCCCTCGTTTTGTGCGGCTCGTCTGTCCGTCTTATGGCTCTCGAGAGCCGAGAACGAGGAGCACGCTTCTCCTAAACCTCTACTCGGCATCCCAACTCGCCCGCCCTTTGATGTGCCATTCCTTAGCACTCAAGTGGTGACATGTCCCACAAGCCGAACTCGTTTTACAACACGGAAAAGAAACCTAAAAAAAAAGATTGATGTTGGCCACCTTCGAACAGCAGCTGTATTTCAACATCGCTGGAGCAGAGAAATTTCACAAAAGCAAATCGACTTGCAGAAACGCTTCTCCTTTTTGTTTTTTTGCTTTTGCCGGTCCTTTAGAAAAGGTTCGAAGACGTTACAGCATGAGAAAAACAAAAGAAGCCATCTTTTCCCGACATCGAAGATCCGTCAAAACATTCAGACAACGAACCACCATCCGCCAAGCACTAAAGAGGTGCAAAGAAACAATGAGAATAATAACGTAGATCACAAAGCAATGATAAAACGGCACTGGGACAAACAATGTAGACGGCAGATGGCAAGCACAGCTTCTCCGCACCTCACGCATCGGCACCACATCACTGCTTTTCACACACACACCACGTCGAGGTAGCTGTGTCGCTGACGACGTTGGCGACGTTGGAAAAAAAAAGGAGCAAGCTGGGGTACTTTCTTCCACATCAAATAGCAAGCCGTTTTCATCTATCTTTACTTTATAAAAAAACGAAATCCATTAAGGTTAAACAGTCAGAGTACTCTGTAAAAAAAAGGCACATTTTTTTCCTTTGAGAAAGCGAGCAGGAGAAACACAACACTCAGATTTCACATACAACCGCCAAACAAAGAAAGAAAGAAAAAACTAAACACAATCAAATGACCGAAATGAGGCGCAATTTTTGCGTGTTCGTTCCCATCGCTCAGCAGCCCAGCGATACTCGTGAGGGGGACAACAAACACAGCAAAGGCACGGTGATAGAAAGCCTAACAAAGAGTCATCAAAGCACACACTACAACGATACAAACTGGGTGAAAAACTGGGAAAAGAAAAGACGTTTGAAATCCGAGTGAACACGCAAGGAAGAGAAAACACATGAACTATGTAGAGGGGGTGCGTGCCAAACTGTTCTCCTTCTTGCTCGTCCTGGAAGCAGCGACTGTGAGAAAAAAAGAAACAAGAAACGCCACAAGAGAAAAGAACAGGGGGCGACGTAACGAGAAAAAAAAAAAGATGAAAAACAGACATACGGCGTGCGACAGAAGGAGTGGTCAGCGAGGAAACGTGGCCCGTTTGTTGTGGTGCGAAGACCCCACACGGCCGCGTAAACAGCATACATGAAAGAAAAAGAAGACTTGTTTCTGAAGGATGAATCCACCTGGCGGAAGGCCGGGGGGGGGGGGGGGTCAAAAAGAAAAACCCGACTCCTGAAGAGGCAAAAGATTACATCAGTACTCTTCAGCCGCTGCGCCGTCGTTAATCGTCCGAGGTTTGGATGATCGTTCCAACGTAGATGTCGGGGAAAAATTGCTTTATTCCCTTCCCCTGGAACTCTGTCTCGGTAGCCACTGTCTCGCAGTTAAACTTCTGGAAATTATCAAAGATGCGATTCTCCGGAGCTAAGGCGCGGAAGGCGATGCGAACCTCGCTGTTCTCTTTGCCGACCTCATGTGGGCACAGGATGCCAAGCGTGTACGGCAGCTTCGCAAACTGGCTCATGGCGCGGGGCACCACTAGGTACGGCGAGTTCTCCGGCGTGAACTCGTAGAACATGCTGACGTCGCGGCTCTGCAGAAACGTGTACTCGGGCGACGGGTGGTCGTTGTCGAACCCACTGTTCATATCCACACGCATCGGCGACATCGCCCCCATGCCGTGGGCAACGCTGATCATGATCGGCGCGTTCTCCGGCTTGTCGGTGCCACGCTTGTCGTCTTGGGAGAGAATGAGGTTGATTACCGTGGGGCGTGCCACGGAGATCTCCAGGCAGGTCGTGGGCACGTTCTGGAAGAAGGTGCCGCGAACACGGTAGTCGTACATGGGGTGCTGAATGAAGCAGACGCCGCAGCCCACGAAGTAGTCTTGCACATCCGGCCACTCCATGAAGAAGGTGCCGTCGTCCGTGTTCTGAAAGTTGAAGTATTCTGCCACCTCCGTGTACTTGTCCCAGTTGGCGTCGCGCTTGTTCCACGGGCCGTTCCAGTCAGAGGTGGTCTGCGACCACGGGTTGCGCAGCTGCAGCAGTCGGAGGTCGTGCTCCTCGAAGTATCCGACGCGAATCACCGAGTAGGTGTGGCCTAGCAGAAGGTTCGCCTTGTCGAAGGCACGCTCGGCCTGGGAGGGGGAACCGCAGCTAGCGGCACCGCGCGCCGTCATGATAGCCTCGCGAGTCGGTGTGGTGAACACGATCTGGTAGCCCGCATCGCTGTAGTTCTTCAGGTGCATGAACAGCTCGTACGTCTCGTTGATCGTGGACTCCACGAACGCGTTATCGAAAGAGGAGCAGGGGAAACCGGACATGTCCTGCAGAGCGTGTAGCGGGTCACCAGCAACAATGAAGCCGTACCCACCAAAAACCTTTGCGTACGCCTTTTCGAGAATGGCAGGCCACAGCTCCGCCGAGTCGCCCTTCGAGCGCGCAAACTTCGGGCGGCCGCCGGCCACGGGCAGGTAGTCGTCCACGATCACATTCGTCCACCAGCCGTTCTTGTTCAATGTGACGCGGTAAATACCGCACGCCCGCTCGTTCTGGCCTTGCTCGACACTCTCGGGGTGGCGAAAGATGTCGCGGATTTTATCGGGGAACTCTGCCAGGGCAGCCATCGCGCCGGTGAGCCACGAGTCGCCGAGGTCGCCCTCGTCCAGGTTGGACGGGTGCACCCCGTTGCGAAAGAGACGGGCCTGCTTGGCGTTCTCGTCAGAAAGAAACATGCTTGGGCGCTCCCATGGCAGCACCTTCAGCTTCATCAGGGAGCCAATCTGCAGCGACTTCTGCTCCGGTGGAAAGGCAAAGTCGACAAATTTGATATTGTTTTTAACGCACACCTTGACCATCTCGTCCGTCGAGGCCTTCTCGTCCACCGAGTTGAACAGCGTCGCCGTCTCCTGCTTCACAAATTCGTAGTCCTGACGGGCCATGTCTTTCAGGTACTCCTCGGACAGCGGCAGAGCGCGGATGTTGCTAGTGAACCCGTTCGTTTCGCCCTCCACAAAGAGTTCCGTCTCCATCGGGTACACCATCACGGTGGCACGGTACGAGCCATCCGGCAGCTGCTCCATCTCGGTGTTTTCCAGCACACGCAATGCAGAGTTCTTGCCAAACACAAACTGGACTTTCATCTGGGTGTTGGTGGTGTCATTGTAGAAAGACCAGCGGTTGTTGTTGCTCTTCTCGACAATGCGGAAGAGGAGGCCGTCATCGAAGCACGGTGTTGCCTCACCCTTGAATACCGGCTCACCGTAGCGGTAATCGCTCGGTCCGTACTTCTTCTGCACGACGGTCCCCTCGTCGAACTCGTCCACCTTGCCGTTCGCAAGCGCCATTGTTGGATGTTTTTTCTTCCTTTACTCTCGTGATCACTGTGTGTAAGAAAAAAAAACAAAGTAAGGCCAAATGAAAAAACAAGGAGGTAATTCAAGGTCGGCTGACTTACCACCACTATGAAACTATGAGTCTCTCGATTGAAGGCGTATGACGTAAAGCAAACGAGACAGTGTGGAGAAAATTTTCTTCCGAGCAAGAGAGCGAGAACCAGCACAGTAAGTGTGTTTTTCTTTTTCTTTTTGGCTATGCAAAAAGAGTGGGAGTGCAATCCAGGGTTATGCGGGGTCGTAGCGAGTGGGAGGGCGTGTCACGGTGAGCACGTTCGAGAAAAATAAAATACACAATTGCGACGCGTGAGATCAACCGCAGCAGATGAAAAAGCAAACGGGCACAGAAAGAAAAGGGAAAATGTTAAGAAGAGCGAACTGTCGAGGAAACCTCCAACAACACGACATTCAGTAGCGGTCCTTCCTCTGCACAGAGGAGTAGCTCTGCGAATGAAGATGTGAAGGAAAAGCAAAAACTGTGCATCATTCAATCATAAACCGTTGCTTGTCGAGCAAATGCAGTTGTTGCAGCCGGCAACTCTCAGTAAAGCTGCCCAAAGAAAACTTTCCTCGTTTGGTCGCACATAAGTGCAAGGTCCGATGTTTGCAACCAAAGCAACCACAGTTTCCCAAGGCACCGAAGCATTTCGTCATTTGTTAAGTTTATTTGTTTTGCTTGTACTACTGTTCTCCACGGCGAAAATGATAGTTTAATGGGACATGTGCGTGTAAGTCGCTGAAATCACACAATGTTGCAAGATCGCACAGAGGTAACACGAAACGGAGAGTTTCAATGAAAACACAAAGAAAAAATGAAAGAAACATTTCGGCACGAACACCTACAATAAATAAATAAATAAACTGAGAACTTTTCTTCCTTTTTTCTGCATTGTGAGGTGCGATATAAAAAGGAAAACCAGAAAAAAGCTCACTTGTCGTGCCTTCACAATTTCGGTGAAACCTAGTCGAAGCCAGGAGTTCCATCTAGATGCAGTTTTCAGATCCGCACGAATTCTCTTTTGCAACGGCGACGACCCTTCCTCTACAGTAAAAAAGATAAATTTGTTGTTTTTTCTCTATCGCACAGATCAATGGCGATAAAATACATAGATATGTTCACGGATGTCTCACGTGACGGCGAGAGAAGGAGAGAAACCAAAGCTTTTGTAATAAGGGTGCAGGAGAGCTTTAATAAACAGGAAGATAACAATGATTGCCAAGATCGACAGAGCCAGAGCCGTTTCCACTCATGAAAAGAAAAAACTAAGCACTTTCTATATTTGACGAAAGGTATTTAAAAAAGAAAGGTGTAAACATGAAACAATGTTTCAGATAATAGGTGTTCTCTACAGTCCTCCTCGTCTTTCTCATCTGTTTCCTCCGCCTTTGTTTGTCGCCTGTGCTACAGTTTCATGTTTCGCTTGCTAAAACAAGATCCGGCGACAGGGATTCACGAACAACACCGGCATCACCAACATTTCTGGCAGATGGAAAAGCAATCCAGCGGAAGCTGAAGGTTTCCCGTTGCCAACAAAACACCGGCTGCACTTCGCACTGAAGGCAAGCAGAGAACGCTAAACGAAAAAAGGACGAGAAAAGTTACGGTAGAACGAAAGGCTTCTCAGCAAACTCATGGCAGGAAAGCGAGGGAGTCAAAAAACATATATATAATAATAATAACAAACAGCATACGAAGAACAAAGCTGAGAAACGACTTGAAACTCACAAAGCGCATCTAGGATTGTGTGATCCCATTCCGTGAAAAAGGTGTCGCTCTTGCTTCGTCTATAAAACGGAAAAACCGTGTCCGGCTTCCCACCGTGCGAAATGTCGCGTGTTCGAAGTAAACCAGTGAAAGGAACATGAAAACAGAGTGAAGAAGCGATAATTTATGGCCTCCATTTTTTCGTCTACGGGCGTCGTTAGAGAGATTCACATAGTAGGCAACGCAAGGGATGCGACCAAATATCGCAGCACTGTTATTTTTCCATTCGGTTTGTGCACCGAAATCACGCATAAGTTAGTCCACGTTATTCGTTTCGCTGAGGGAACGCTGCACACGCGCAGCTCCTTACGCCAGCTCTTCGCCCATTTGCGTCAGCGGAAAGCCCTCACCAGGAGCACGCCTCTGGAACTGCACCGGCTGCTCCACCTCCTTCAGCTCGGGCTCGAACTTCGGGAAGTTCTCGAACACGCGGTTGCTCGCATCCAGGCGCTTGAACTTCACCGACACATCGCCACCTCCCACCTCCTTGTTCGTGATCATGCCAAGCACATACGGCACTGGGTCGGCATCAGAGGGCATATTGCGAGGCACAACGATGTACTTGCCAACATCCAACTTGCGAATCAGCGAGATGTCACGCGCCTGCAGGAACGTCCACTTGTCCGGAGTCGGGTGAACACCGTCAGCAGACGTGTTCAGCACCACCTTGTACATGCCACCCTCCACGGGCTCCGCAATGCTGATCATCACGGGCTGGTACTCCGCCGCGGTGTCGCGGCAGCGCTTGTCGTCCTGCGAAATCACAAAGGTGAACCACGTCGGCGACGACACCTCGATCTCCAGCACAGCAGACGGCACACCGTTCGTGAACACGGAGTTCATGCGGTAGTCGTACGCGGGCTGGTGCGAGAAGCACACGCCACCGCCATTGAAGTACTTCTGCGCAGCCTCCCACGACATCCAGAACGTGCCGTCGGCGGCCTTCTGGAACGCGCACGCGTCGGCCACGTCCGGGTACTCCTCCCACTTGCTGTCGTCATCGCTCCAGTCGCCATTCCACTCCAGACCGCGGCCCCATGCGTTGCGAACCTTCACGAGGCGCAGGTTTTCCTTCTCGATGTGTTTGGCATCGAGAATCGTGTAGGCGTGGCCGGTCACAAGCCCTACCTTCGCGAGCTCCTCCGTCAGCTCTCGGTTTTTATCGTTCGGGCCCTTCCCGGGAGTGTTGCAAATGACAGTGTAGCCCGCAGCGATGCCGCGCGCAAGGTCGTCGAACAGCTCAGCCTTGGTCTTGCTCGACTCATCCACAAGGGCATCGTCAAAACGCGTTGTGGAGAAGCCGGTCATATCCTGCAGCGCGTGCAGCGGGTCGCCGGAGCAGATCTTCGCGTAGCTGCCGTGCAGCTTCGCGTAAGCCTTCTCCAGTATCGCGGGCCACATCTCCGCAGGATCCACGGCGCTCTTCGCGTACTTCAGCTTGCCGGCAGACACGGGCAGGTAGCTGTCCACAAGCACACTGCGCCACCACCCGTTCTTGTTGAACGTCACACGGTACGCACCGACGGCATGCTCGCGCTGGGCAGCGGCCTTGCCCTCCGGGTGGCGGAACATGCCCATCAGGCGCGCAGGGTCCTCCGACACAGCGGCAACAGCGCACATCACCCAGGAGTCACCGAGATCGCCAGCGTCCACGCACCCGGGCTGCACGCTCGTGCGGAACAGACGCACCTGCGCAGCCATCTCCTCCGGCACGCACGACTGCGGGCGAGCCCACGCAAGCGGCTTGAAGGGCTTCGTCGCACCAGCGTCCAGCGACGCTTGGCAGGGCGGGAACTCAGGGTCCACGAACGCAATCCCGTTCTCCATGCACGCCTGCAGCACATCCTCCGCGTTGTCGCTGTCCGTCAGCCGCTGGATTGCCGCAGTCTCGCTGGCCACCTGCTCCTCCGTAATGCCGCGGCGAGCGTTGTGGTACTCGTCGCTCAGCGGCACGGCGCGCAGCTTGCTTGTGAAGCCGTTCACGCTGCCCTTCACGAACATCTCTGTCTCCGTGGGGTACACAACCACCTCCGTCACGTACTGTCCCTCGTCGTTCTGGTTCATCACAGTGTTCTCCAGCGGCTGCAGCTTCGAGTGCTTGCCGAAGGTGAACTGCACGTGCATCTCGTAGTTCAGGCTGTCGTTGTAGAACGCCCACGTCTTCTCATTGGGGTCGATGATGCGGTACAGCAGGTTCGGCTCGTCGAAGCACGACATGATCTCGCCCTTGCAGTCCGGCTCGCCGTTCTTGAACACGCTGGCGTCCTCGTTGCCGGCATCGCCCTCGCCCTCGTACACGGGCGCCATGCACGTCGACATCTCGAACTCGTCGTCGCTCTCCTCACGCGGCTGGTGCTCGACGGGTTCCCAGCGGGACACAGCCTTCACGTTGCGGGTCTTCGGCTTCACGATCGCGCCGAGATGCTGGCGGGCGGCCTGAGGCGGGGGCATGGAGCGTGTGTGCTGCTGCGGCTCCGCCTCGTACGCCGTCTCCACCGGGGCGTGGGCGTGCTCACCATGGTGGTGAGGCTGCTCTTGCGGCTCCTCATCACCAAGCTCCGCCCATTGGTCGGCTTGTTGGGCAGGCATAGGTGCCACTCCTTCCTCATCGTCCTGAGACTCGCGAGGATGTCCCCCGTGAAGGTGGTGTTCGTGGTGGTGCTCTTGCGGCTCCTCGTCGCCGAGCTCCGCCCACTGTCCGTCGGGCTGCTGAGGGGCAACGTCCTCCTCACCCTCGCACGGTTGCCCTTCGTAATGGTGATGGTGCTCCTCTCCGCCATGGGGGTGGTGATACGTCTCCTGCGACTCCTCATCACCCAACTCCTGCCAATCCTGTGGATTCGAAGTGTGAGACATTTGTTGTTGTTGTTTTTTTTGAGAGCTGCACTCTTCAATACTGTTGAAGTGTATGATAGTTTTAGTCGGATCAACTACTGTCGGTGGTCTTTAAAAGGCGAAGGCGCTTCGGTGCAATTGGGGTAGCCGATGATCCGCTACGTGATATAAAAAAAAAGGAAAATTGATGTTGCTTTAAGTATAGAAAGAGGGAGTAAAAATGGAATTACTGAACATAAGAAGAAAAGGCGTGGGAAGAAAAGAGGTTGAATGCAGAGAAAAGAAACGCTTGCTGAGAAGCAAAACTAACGCAATGAAATAATGGCGAACGTGTTCTCATTGCAAATACTAAGAGAATACCCCGTCCTAAGTGATTAGCTGGTGGTTCGCAAACGTGCAGGGTTGGAAATGAAAAGCACCACGAGCATATGCAAGTCTTTCGTTTCAAGATGCGAAAAGTCTATCAGAAAAAGATGCGTTGGACTCAAACCTCGTTTAGCGTGAATAGTGATCAAGCATTTTACGAAGGACCTCAATATCTCGCTCAGCATTTTTGTGTTGTTTTCTTTCTCTCATTGCAAAGATGCCCTGTAGAAGCTAAATAGGGAACACATCGAAGTGCAGTACAGTTCTTTTTCTTTTTAACGCATAGAAACGACAAAAGAGGGAAAAGGTTCCGTGGAGATAGCAGCTATCAAATTTCCAGCTAGTTTCTGGTTGTGTTGCTGTAGCACACCATGCCGAGCCGTCTCCAACCGCTTATTCCTTCGCCGACGCATTGAATTCATCAAGTAATCCACGTCGTTCGCGTCAGACAAACAGGTAACCGGAAAGGGGAATACAAATATATATGTATATAGGTATATATTTCTTCGTTTCATTGGAAAATATTAGTATAACTTCAGTTTGCTTGGGGTGAGAGTTTAGTATACCAAAGTGAATGATGCGCCGAAAAAAGAAGAACAATAGAAAAACTCTTTTCAAAGGAATACATTGCCGAAAGAAGAATGTGGCGCTAGCCCAAGAAGAAAAGGAAGAACGATGGTAGTAGTTGTGGGTCTAACAAAAAAGAGAGAGAAATGAACACTCTGCTTCTTTCATTAGAGGACGAAGAGACCACTCAAAAAACTCTTTGTTCTGTTGTTTTTCCCACTTTCGTATTCCCGTAATTTAGCACATCACAGGGAAGCCTTCTCAATGATAATCACGAGACAACCCGCCACACTACTATTTTTTGACGTAAACAACAAAAAAATGAACAGGGATGCAATAGGAACACATCGAGAAACATCCGATGAAAGGGGAAAAAAAAACGAAGTCGCACTTGCGTTACACAAGTGGTCTCGGTGGGGGTCTTTTCATCCCGCCCTCGAAACTCCTCACTTGGCTCTTTTGTAGAAATTGTGTGCAAAAAAGAAACTTCTTAAAGGGACAGCAAAGAAAGCGATGGAAGTGAATTTGTGCTTAGTGTGGGGAGAAAAGGGATCAAAAGCTACCTCAGTGTTTTAGTGGTGCCACCTTCAAACCTGAGGAATAGAGTCACTTCTCAACGGTTGCACTTTTCGTTGCTTACCGTATTGGGTGTGAAACACAAGGGGTCACAATACGTATATTACTTTAAACATAAAATACGCCACCTTTTAAGAATGTAAAGTCAGCTTTGACGGGATGACAACGGCAAAGGCTCGAGTTCGACAACTTTGCATTTTGCCTACCTCCATCTCACCAAACGCACCTGCTTTTAAGTGGCAAAAGTCAACAAGATACTTCGCTATCAAAAACACGCTAAACGGTTCTTTATGAGTTGCGGGCTGCATTTGCGCTGCTTCACGATAAAATCGCCGCCGTTATCCAGCTGGAGCCAGTTGTTTTGCTAAACTACTGCATCCCATCGAAAGGGCAACGAAAGAGAGTTTTTCGTTATATCCACTGCAAACCACGGTCACAAACGGACTGCAAGCAGAGCCAAACCACTGATTTTTGCAAACGGTGCGGGAGGAGTCGCCGGGTAGTCCATTACGCGCCTCAAGATCCACCTCGCGCTGACAGAGAAGAGGGCCGCCACACTTCCTTTGAGGCTGTCATCGGTTTCGTTGCTCCTGTGAAACAAAAACACCGATTGACATCCTGCATTCTCTTTGCCTGGATATTTACAGCAACTCTTCGCCCATCTGCGTCAGCGGAAAGCCCTCACCAGGAGCACGCCTCTGGAACTGCACCGGCTGCTCCACCTCCTTCAGCTCGGGCTCGAACTTCGGGAAGTTCTCGAACACGCGGTTGCTCGCATCCAGGCGCTTGAACTTCACCGACACATCGCCACCTCCCACCTCCTTGTTCGTGATCATGCCAAGCACATACGGCACTGGGTCGGCATCAGAGGGCATATTGCGAGGCACAACGATGTACTTGCCAACATCCAACTTGCGAATCAGCGAGATGTCACGCGCCTGCAGGAACGTCCACTTGTCCGGAGTCGGGTGAACACCGTCAGCAGACGTGTTCAGCACCACCTTGTACATGCCACCCTCCACGGGCTCCGCAATGCTGATCATCACGGGCTGGTACTCCGCCGCGGTGTCGCGGCAGCGCTTGTCGTCCTGCGAAATCACAAAGGTGAACCACGTCGGCGACGACACCTCGATCTCCAGCACAGCAGACGGCACACCGTTCGTGAACACGGAGTTCATGCGGTAGTCGTACGCGGGCTGGTGCGAGAAGCACACGCCACCGCCATTGAAGTACTTCTGCGCAGCCTCCCACGACATCCAGAACGTGCCGTCGGCGGCCTTCTGGAACGCGCACGCGTCGGCCACGTCCGGGTACTCCTCCCACTTGCTGTCGTCATCGCTCCAGTCGCCATTCCACTCCAGACCGCGGCCCCATGCGTTGCGAACCTTCACGAGGCGCAGGTTTTCCTTCTCGATGTGTTTGGCATCGAGAATCGTGTAGGCGTGGCCGGTCACAAGCCCTACCTTCGCGAGCTCCTCCGTCAGCTCTCGGTTTTTATCGTTCGGGCCCTTCCCGGGAGTGTTGCAAATGACAGTGTAGCCCGCAGCGATGCCGCGCGCAAGGTCGTCGAACAGCTCAGCCTTGGTCTTGCTCGACTCATCCACAAGGGCATCGTCAAAACGCGTTGTGGAGAAGCCGGTCATATCCTGCAGCGCGTGCAGCGGGTCGCCGGAGCAGATCTTCGCGTAGCTGCCGTGCAGCTTCGCGTAAGCCTTCTCCAGTATCGCGGGCCACATCTCCGCAGGATCCACGGCGCTCTTCGCGTACTTCAGCTTGCCGGCAGACACGGGCAGGTAGCTGTCCACAAGCACACTGCGCCACCACCCGTTCTTGTTGAACGTCACACGGTACGCACCGACGGCATGCTCGCGCTGGGCAGCGGCCTTGCCCTCCGGGTGGCGGAACATGCCCATCAGGCGCGCAGGGTCCTCCGACACAGCGGCAACAGCGCACATCACCCAGGAGTCACCGAGATCGCCAGCGTCCACGCACCCGGGCTGCACGCTCGTGCGGAACAGACGCACCTGCGCAGCCATCTCCTCCGGCACGCACGACTGCGGGCGAGCCCACGCAAGCGGCTTGAAGGGCTTCGTCGCACCAGCGTCCAGCGACGCTTGGCAGGGCGGGAACTCAGGGTCCACGAACGCAATCCCGTTCTCCATGCACGCCTGCAGCACATCCTCCGCGTTGTCGCTGTCCGTCAGCCGCTGGATTGCCGCAGTCTCGCTGGCCACCTGCTCCTCCGTAATGCCGCGGCGAGCGTTGTGGTACTCGTCGCTCAGCGGCACGGCGCGCAGCTTGCTTGTGAAGCCGTTCACGCTGCCCTTCACGAACATCTCTGTCTCCGTGGGGTACACAACCACCTCCGTCACGTACTGTCCCTCGTCGTTCTGGTTCATCACAGTGTTCTCCAGCGGCTGCAGCTTCGAGTGCTTGCCGAAGGTGAACTGCACGTGCATCTCGTAGTTCAGGCTGTCGTTGTAGAACGCCCACGTCTTCTCATTGGGGTCGATGATGCGGTACAGCAGGTTCGGCTCGTCGAAGCACGACATGATCTCGCCCTTGCAGTCCGGCTCGCCGTTCTTGAACACGCTGGCGTCCTCGTTGCCGGCATCGCCCTCGCCCTCGTACACGGGCGCCATGCACGTCGACATCTCGAACTCGTCGTCGCTCTCCTCACGCGGCTGGTGCTCGACGGGTTCCCAGCGGGACACAGCCTTCACGTTGCGGGTCTTCGGCTTCACGATCGCGCCGAGATGCTGGCGGGCGGCCTGAGGCGGGGGCATGGAGCGTGTGTGCTGCTGCGGCTCCGCCTCGTACGCCGTCTCCACCGGGGCGTGGGCGTGCTCACCATGGTGGTGAGGCTGCTCTTGCGGCTCCTCATCACCAAGCTCCGCCCATTGGTCGGCTTGTTGGGCAGGCATAGGTGCCACTCCTTCCTCATCGTCCTGAGACTCGCGAGGATGTCCCCCGTGAAGGTGGTGTTCGTGGTGGTGCTCTTGCGGCTCCTCGTCGCCGAGCTCCGCCCACTGTCCGTCGGGCTGCTCAGGAGTGGCTTTTTCGCCACCGTGCACGGCAGCCGCATCCTCAGGGTACTCGTTACGCTCCTCAGCGACCTCTTCGCCACCGTGCACGGCAGCCGCATCCTCAGGGTACTCGTTACGCTCCTCAGCGACCTCTTCGCCACCGTTTAAGGCATTTGCTTCTTCAGGGTCCTGCTCCGAAAGAATTTGCGTGTCGGTCGCCTCCGGTGGTGCTTCATCTTCAAGCTCCTGCCATTGGACGTCTTCAGCAGTCTGATGTGGTGGAGGAGCCTCTTGGTGCTGCTCTTCCTCGGTGTGCTGAGGGTGGTCAAGGACCTCGTCCCCAAGCTCGGTCCACTGGTTCTCGTCCTGTTGATTCTGAGACATTGTAAGCACGGAACAGCAGGCTTAAAGTGAAAATAGGAGATGTGAGTAGGAGGCTAAAAAAAAAAAGGTGACCTCAGCACAAGTTGACTAACAAGATTTGGCGGAAAAAAGGGAGCAACGTTTTGCAGAGTACAGCAAAATCCAGTAAAGAAGAGGGAAAAAAGTGAGGGCGGCCAGAAAAGAAAATGACGTTAGCATTGGAGGTTAAATCACCGACAAGTCAAAGTTTCTGTTCCAATAGTGCGGCGTGACACTGCAATTTTGGCACTGTAACAGAACAGTTTTTGATATGGAATGACTGCGCGATTGTTTATATATTAACGCGTAATGACGATCCAGTTTGAAAATAAGGTAGACACGCAGAAAGACGTTCTTAATACAGTAAGTCTTAAAACGAGAAAAAAACCTTAAGCCACAAACTGTACAATTTAAGCTTTGCATAAGTAGGAAACCCGCTGAAAGGCTCTTTCGAACCAAATTTGCATTTCATTTTTACTTATGAAGTTTTATAGAACATTGATACAATGTTCCGCGCCAATGCAAAGCAACGTAAGATATAGCAGGAAAAAAAAACTATATACGTTCTTCTATGCTCTATATTACCAGATTTTCACAAAATGCAAGAAGCAACGCTATTTTCTACAATACCCATGTGTGCTTAACACATTTCTGGGTGGTGACTACACCCAAGACACAACAAAGGTAGTATGGTTCAAAACAGCTGTTAAACCGAAGCGAGCAAGAGATTTTTTAAAGGCCAGAACATTTGACAATCACCTATTTAATGGCAAAATATAGTGCATACCCTTGTCCGCATCAAGTCTTAATAATCATCCTACCCAAGAAAGAAACTAGGATCGCGCCAGATTTTGAAAAATACGCTATCCAGAAGGAGTGCAACAGTTCAATTAAATGATACAGTATAATCCACAGTTATTCGAAAACAGAAAGCACTAACATTTTGTAAAAGATTGTGCGTTCTTTATTTTCCGAAAATAGAGGCAGTTTGATCACTCAGTATCTTAACGTTGTTTGGACAGTATTCGAATATCTCTGTCTGCTTGCTTGAGTTTATTTCACAAAACACTTTCTTAAGAAATAAAGTTATGGTGTCTTTTAATTTAGATTTTCTAGACCGGCTAGCAACCTGTTTTAATTGTCCCATGCAGTCACTGCTTTTGGTGCTTATTTGTGTTGTTTCAGCACGAGAATACATCATGCCTTTTTTGCGTGTGAGCGACAGGGTTCAATCCATTGTTGTATTTGCCTGGTACTCTACTTTTTCCCGAACAGTTTTGTATTCGCAGGTAGGTAGAAAATAGCGCCTACTTTTACAACGAACTCACTGATTTTTTCCCCTCTCACTAACGCATTTCTTTTCAAAATAAATATATATATATATATATATATATGCAATCGAGAAAAAATATTTAAGAAAAGTATTAGTCAAAGAATTTCCTCCTAGTCATAACAGTAATGGGAAACCATTTTTGTGTGTGCTTGTTATTGTTACTTCATGAAGGTAAATCACATTTCCACTACACAGCACCGCGGTAGCAGACATCAGGAAAAAAGAATGTAAGAAATACTTAAACAGCCAAATGCAGGCTATGTGTCACCGTACTACGTCATTCACTGAGAAAGTCACAACCAGCAGTTGCAGAATAAAAACTTCTCCGTGAGGCAATTAATAATAAACGGAAAGCACACTACAAAGTAACCTCTGTCTATGTCTTTGAGTGAGCTACAGGAGCCTCGGTGCAGTGCCACGCAGAACACTTCGTTTTCTGTTCAGTTGTAATGAGCTAATACACTCATCACCAGAAAAAAAAATGTTTGCGCTACAACGCCGCTTGAACGACAATAATACAGACACGCAATAAGAGGGCCATTAGCGTTCCTGCGACTTTTAGTGGAGAGAAAAGCAGCGCGTCATTGAAACATTTCTTAAGCTCAAGCGGGTTTCAATCAAACGCTGAACAGAAATCAACTATTAGAAACAAATGTGAAGGCAGATCTCACTAATGTTGCTTTAAAAAGTGCGTTAACGGAAAGAAAAAAGAGATGCAGAAAAAAACTACGTCATGCGGTTATTTTCTTTGGGTAGAAAATGACCACAGAATACGTCATTGGCACCTACAAATAAACGTAAGAAATTTGTAAGCACAAGAAAAATACGGTGGGATATAAAAATCTTGCTTGACACGAAATTGCGTTGTCGGTAACGAATGCTTTGCTCATTCCACATTGTTCATTTTGTCGTTTACTTGCAGTTCTCACCATCTCTGTCAGCAAACATGGAGAAAAGTGATGGTTCGTAACTGGAAAATGTGCATCTAAGAATACGTTCTTTTTTCGCGCGATAGTACCACAACCAACATAACGGTTTAACAGCACGTACGAAGCCACCGTGAAAAAGAGAATTCTCTTCTTTCCTCAATGAATCTGATTGAAATGTCATCTGGTACCACGAAAGATAAAACACAACTGTCGCTTGAAACAAAAGCACGGAACTTTTGCCCTCGCTTTGACAAAAGCTTAAAACACGGTACAAATAACGAGACCAGCTCCAAAGACAGTTAACTATTTACACATTCTGTGATACTTGATCCAAGCGTCGTAAATAAACCGTACCCTATACAAAACTTGATCCCTCGCAGCTGCAAACGATTGTTCTCTCGGGTGAGTTCGAGGCTCACCCGGAAACGTTGCGCAAACGTTAAATGCCATTAAGAAGGCAGCGATGACGAAACCTCTTTGAGTATAACCTGATTTTGCAACTTCAGAGCTCTGCACGCCGGTTCACTGTAACGTTTGTTGTAGCTAACGGATTTATGGGTTTGTGACAAGGAGCTTTACCCTGGTTTTTGTTCGCGGTGTTGGCACTGTGAAACACTTGTGTGAATAATAGTGAGACTTGGATGCGTCCGGGGCACACAAAAAAAAAATCTAATAGATGTTCGTTGCAAGTGAGTTGTGACGTAAACGAGGCTTTTTCTTCTTGGGTAGCAGAAAAGAGACATTCTCGGAAAGCTCCGCTCAACTTGCACAGTGGTTCGTTCCCTCTCAGTCTCGTCGCTTACAACGCCGCGGTTTCCATTCAGCGATTAGTCTCCTTCACTACGTTGAAAAACTGCCCCCTTCCCACTCTTCTTTTTCTTCCCATAGCTCTCACTCCATCCTCCTCTCCTCTATTCGATAGAAACCGCTGAAGCCTCCATGGAATTCGACACTCGGAGATGTCACCACCAGAAATTGTCTTGAATGAAATGCAGCAATTGCTCGAGCATGGGAAAACGGCGGCGCGTTCAGCGCCCCCCCCCACCCCACCACCACCACCCGCTTTAACTAGGCGCTTTCCGAGTGCTCTCAGTAAAAGCAAAACAGTTCGGGTTTGCTGCTGGGTGACCAATGGTACCCCGGGGCTGACACCGCGGCCACCCTAGGCCGCCCAGAGCCCCACCAGACCCCCAGCCAGCCGCCCCCCGAGGAGCAACAATAGCCCGCTACCACACCGTGCGCCGCGTTGAAAGCCATCACACCTGCTGAGCTATATCAGCAGGTATTGCATGTAGAACCGGGTGCACCCATTGAGGTATCCTTCCGCAGGGAATGAATAACCGTTAGAATCGTTGAATCGGTGGGCTCTACGAGGTCGAGCAACACCATGACGGAAACATTAAGAGCATCCTCGTCTCATTACACACCAACCCACAGATTAATGCAGAGCCGCAAAAAATAGAACACAGTGTTCAGTGAGTTCCGCGAGACGGATACGAGGATACCGGTGTCTTCTCCGTCAGTCGGGAGGCACCTCACTTCATCGACGACAGCGAAGTGGTTGAGATCGAAGGCAATTTCGATTCTGAAGACCTCCAAACATCGCTTTCCCGACGAGATGACGTGGAAGCAATGTTGTAATGTGGAGGTCGGCCTAAACCTCATCCAGGCACTCCAAGATAAGCATGTTGAAACGTCGGGTGTGAGTTCGGAGGAGATTCGCAAAGCGCTCACTTCAGAGAAGAACCCATATATGGAGAATCTTGAACAGCTTCGCGACGAGAAGGAGCACAGCGACGTGAAGAAACAGTATTGCAACTCTCACGGCAAGTACGGGCACTGGAGGTCTGAGTACCGCAGCCTTCAAAAATATGGCTGTTACCGGCCGGCAACGAGCACGAGAAATTGAATGAAATACGTGCAAGGGTTCTCGCGGTTTCAGATGGAAGAACGTGAAATTAAGCGAACGCGCCGCAGCATCAACAACGGAAGGAAAGTCTCCTTACTACGACATCCATGGTGGTCACAATTAACGCCGGAGCAACCCCGAGAATGTGGCAAATCCGCAGACACATCTGACGCAGTCGGGTGCACAGCACTGCAGCAACCAATAAACACGCCAAGAAGACCAACATCGACAGAATCTCGACGAGAAACATAGACCACCGGTCTGCAAACGCAATCACGCAAATGAAGGTCAGCAACAACACAAAGTCAACCGACGCAGTGACAGCTTGAGCAATATTGAAGCTTTTGCAAATCGAAGACAACTCCGTGAAGATGATGTTGAAAACGTACTCCATCAACCGAACTTCACAGAAGCAAGGGGTACCAGCAATACGGAGAGAGATAGAGCTTGTCATGGCAGCGCTGAACGATAGGCCGTGGCAGTCACGCAACGGTCTTCCAGTCGTGAAAAATGGCAGGCCGTTGAGGAGATATTCAATGATTGACGAAGGAGAATGCCTTGCAGGTGAGTCCGCAGCAAACTCTACTACCCTTCACAGCGGGAGACACACCGTCACGGAACCCTTCCAAGGCATACCCTCTAGTTGTGGTTGAGGACATCAGCGAGATGAGACGAAGCGCGCAAATTCTCACCAGCTGGAACGCAAACAACCCAGCATCAACGCACCTCACAGCAATGAATACGGATCAGATCATCCCCGAGCTGAAACACGTAAACCCAGCGCTGAAAGAGCACTCAACCAAACGAAGCGCATTCTATTTCCTCACAACATGCGCAGCGCACAATCAGTTCAGGAAACCATGCAAATCCTCACGTCCACCGTAGCAGGTCATCTGAAGTATGCGGGCAACGAGTTCACCATGAACGGCCCAGCCCTGACCTCAATCGACGTTGGGATCGACAACATACGGTCCGCAGACACGCGTCAAGCTGTCCAAACGGCGTCCAGGAGGATGTTCACCACTGCGAAAGATTGTCCATTCTCTTTTTACGCGAATGAGAGTTACACGAGAGAAGTCTCCGACGTCAAGTGGGTATGTTTCATCCACGCAGCTCACAAAATGGCCGTGGCAGATCACCCGATCCGGAAGATTGCTGGTCCGACGCCAAGCATGACGTGCGGCGACTTGGAGCGACTGTGCGCACAAATCCTCCGCTGCTCGTCATTCCTACGTATCTGCATCGCAGAGTTCAATTGGACATTCAAGCTCATTAGACGACGGCTACCGCAGCTCAGCCGAACACCTCTCCTGGTGAAGGAACCGGCCTGCACACGCCCAACGACGCATGCGCCACTCAAAAAAGATGCTTTTTACAGAGCTTCCCACGCAAAGTGCAATGTCCTTGAGTGCCTTTGTCGATACGGCTCTCTTCCTGAGAGTGGCTAAGGCTGTCGTGTTGTCGATCTTTATAGGAAAGCTCGACTCTGCGGGAATCTATCGCTGCAAGTATTCCACCGCCAGAACCACGGTGTCCGCTTCCAGCGCGGTTATGTCGCGCTGCTCTGCTGCGGACCATTCGTCACCAACGCTCATGATTTCTTGGGACTCGTCCCGATCAAGACCGCTCCCCAACCGGCTCCAGAGGCGTCGGTGTAGAGAGTCATCATCGGCATTCTCGTTGCCGTGGCCGGCGCTATCGCTGGTGGACAGTTCTTCTGTGCCAGGTGGTACCACTATTTGCTATCCGTAGACTACGTTCCTTCCAAAGAGAACTTGGCTGATGCACCGCCGTGCATCTTTTTCATAGAATAATGTCGCTAAAAATGTCTCTCTTGTGCTTTCTCGATGGGAAAACAAGACACGAACGGCTGTAAGGTATGCCTGCAACATAACAGACCAGAGAGGTTCTTTGCTTCTTCAGTCTTCAGAAAGCCAAAGGCCTTTTCTTTCCATTCTTTCAAAAATTCTTCATTTTTTTTTTTGAGCTTGCGAATAGCATGACCTAGCCTGAAGAATTATTCGTCCTGCCTCTCTTTTCCCCTTTTTCTTTTATTCTCTTTTCCAACTGCTAGAATTCAGCAGTTCTTCCATCTTTTAGTTTTCCCCACCCGCCCAACCCTGAACTCCGCGCCCACCCAGCGGGGAAGCGTAAGGCGGGCTACCCACTTCGTAAGGTCTGTTGAATAGTTTGTTTTCTTTGCATGTATTTAACTATTGATATTTACAGTGTGTTGTAAAACCAAGAAAGATAAATTCATGCAATTTTCATGTGAGGGTTTGACCTTTTGGTGGGTGATGATTTGTAGGGTGTGGGTTGTTCTTCCCCCCCTTCTTGGCTTTGGCTTTTCGGGCGCGTGCGACCCCCCCGCCCGGGGCACGGCGCCGCCCCAACCGCCGGACGGTGCGCGCGGGCGGAAGGGCCCATCCCGGGAATTGTGCATCCTGTCTCTCTTTCCCTTTTCCTTTCCTTCGCTTTCCGCGCTGTTGGGGGGCTGCGGGTTGTCCGCGCCCTCGTTTTTCCGCCGCCCCGCCCGCGTGGGGCGGGGGGGGGGGGGTCGGCGCCGGCAGCAACACCCGCCCCCGCGCCGGCAACAGCGAACCCGCGCAGAAGGCAGAAACACAAGGGAGGGGGGGGGGGGAAAGGAAGGGAAAGCAAAGGCTCGGTAGAAGAGGATTCCAATTGTGCAACATCATCACTCAGTCTCAAGTACAGGAGGTAAACAAAACTCTTTAACACCAGCGAGCTTGCTGAGAAAAGTTTATTAGTTCTATGTTTTGATGTTTGGGGAATACCAACGGGGTGGGAGCTTTCTTTTACAAATCCGCCTCCACAGCGGGGCGGAGTGGGGTTGCATTACCGAGGCCGAAGGCCGAGGTCATTGAATGGCACAAGCCTTTATGTATATGTGTGTGGATCCCCTTCATTGAGTATATGTCGAGAGACCTGTGATATGGCACGGCCGCGCGGAGCGTGTTAACCCGCATGCGCATGTGTGCACTAGCGAGGTGGCTGCGAGCTCGTTCTTCCGGTGGTGTGATCCACCCCTGTTCAGATGTTGCGGTTGTGATTCTTCCCTCTGCTGACTGCGGTAGCGGTCTTCATCTTCTCCTCCACATGTGCTCTCCACTCTTCTTCCTCGTTGTCTCTCTTCTTCGTTTCCTCTCCTGCGCACACGAACATGGTAACTCTGCTCACGCGATAAAGCATACAAGTGAAGGCTGT